CTGATTGATACATCTCTGTGAGGCTTTAGAAGAGGTTGAGAGTCCACTGTTATAGTACTAGACATACATTCACTTGAAATTGTAGAATATGATTGATCCCAGAACAATGATTTAAAAATTGTTCTTAAAAATAAAAAATAGTAGGTAGGTAGGTACTATTAAATATGGTTCAGGTTTATTGGCATTATCATTTAGGTACAATCTATAGTGATAGAGATAGTGTGAATTATATGTGCTAATTAATTGATGTTTTAAACTAAAGTTTTAAGCTAAGATTATCATTGGAGTACATACAGGTACATAATAATATTGATTTATTTAGATTGTCATGTACACAATACAATAAAGTTACGGTACATGGTGAACTTGATTCCAAGTGGCATATTCTACCAGTAACCCTCAGGGTTTTAAATAATAATTGTAATAATACACAATTATGTACCTATTTTAGAATAAAACTGGAACCGCACACCACATATTAAAGTTTCTTTTTCTTTTTGGCCTTAATTTGTATACACTTCTAAAAAATCTTGTAGGTAGTTTCTTAATAATTTCACACAAGAGGACCTAGGACTAATGAAGTACCTATCTAATAGTATTCAATAAACTGTATGATAGGTAAATTTAGAAGTAAAAATATAATAATCACAACGGATACATATGCTGAAAAAGTCAAAGCAAAGTCGTATTGCTGTTTTGTTTTACTTTACAATGTGATGCTAGCATTATTCCCATAGAATGCAGTACCTATTCCTTTTCTTAGGAATTCATTCCTGATTATATGGTGGTGACTACATTGTATATGTTGTGTAAAGTGGGTGAACTTCTGGAAGGAAACAACCAGAGATAACACTAGAACTTAATGAGGTTCAGAAACTTGAGTTGAACCGTGGGTATCAATAATGGATCCTAATAACCTTTGCATATACCCCCCCCCCCTTTTTCTCTTTATGACTTTTAAAATTCCGAAAAGAAGGAGGGCATGGAAAAAGAATCTTCCTGCACTTACTGAATAGTGAAAACAACAGTAAAGATATCAGGGTCAGGAACCCATGATACATATATTTCAGTCTCTTATACTTGTTTGCCTATAGATCTTTGGCGTGATACACCAAGTGGTTTTGGAGGCAAACTTTGATTTAAACTCGTGCGAATGGGACATCTGAGTTTATTTAGGTATTTCTTTACCGGCCTTATTTTCTTTTAAGGTGTAAACATTTATTCTAGATTAACTTAAATAACAAGTGTTCAAGTTCTTTTTGGTAAAACAGAACGTATTTGACATCTGATGTTTTAATGTCAACATGTCAAACAAACGTAAATATTGTTTACAGTGAATATTTTGTTGTGCGTATTCGCTTAATAGTTATTATATTGGCCTTACAATTTCAATTATTAACCTAATTTTAACATGGAGCCAGCCAAATTCCATAGCTGGGCGAGCAAACAATGTTAACTTTAAAGTTGAACGGAATCAAAAATCTGCAACTTTTTGTTTAGGTCATACAATTTTCATTATACTTGTAATAAAATCCACCTTTTTAAGTGGCACTTATATAGAGTTGTCTAGAGTAAGAAATTAATCCTATATACTGAAAGAATCACCCTTTTCAGTATAAATAATATTTAATACTATACCAAGTTTACAAGAATACTTCTGTAAGGTTCTGTATTAGTAATATAGTCTAGACATTTCTTATGTTCTGCAAAATTAAGGAATATCATCAACATAATTTCGTGTAATCAATACTATACAATGTATAAGGTTACTCTTTGGGAAGACAAATAAGAACCGCAAATGTTTGTCATTCACCATTTTCCTTCACTGATATTAAATAAAATGCATTCTTAAGTTGATCATGCATCTGAAGACACTTCAACATATGAGGAGTTTTAGAAATGGTTCTAGATCCATTGTTTATATTAATAGTAACATAATTTATTATAGTCCTTAATTATTTAATTGCCTGAAGGACCATTTGTTCTGGAATGTGAAGATAAACTGGCAAGTAATCACTTAGTCAGTTATCTACATATATGGTACAGTACAGCACCTTAGCTTTAACAATTTTCCTTCAGAAGTAAAATTATTTTGCTTTTACACCTATGTGGGTATTTTGTGGTATATTTGTCTGAACAGGAATATCAGTGATGGTAATTTATACCTATTAATCCAACTAAGTATGGTTGGGAAACCTAAAGCAGAACTCTATTGTTCAGAAAGGTAATGTGATCTACCTGTACTAGCGATGATCCGGACCTCAGTGCTGTGGGTAGAATTAGAAATTCTGTAGAGGATGCATCGGCCTTGTTGATTTTCTTGTAATCATGTGTTCGCTTTAGTTTTGGTTTTTGCTCACACACACACACACACACACACACATATTGTTTGTACATCACACAGTGTTTGTTGATGTGGTTGGCATGAAGTTGGTAGTCTAAAAGGTTTTCTTGGATGTTCTCCAATTCAAGTTTAGACTCTCTGATAGCTTTACTTGCAATAAACTTGTCTTGAAGCACTATTTATTACTGTATATATAGCTAGAACACCTATTTGTGTTCTGATCTTCATTCAGGGGCACATGTTAATAATTTACAGAGCAGTCTGGCTGTATCCTTAAAATCTTTAATAGGTTTGTTAATTAATTTGCGAACAGTAACTGCTCCTAGAGTCATTTGATATTCACAATCCTATCGTCTCACTCAATCCCATCTTTATTTAGTGGCACCTCCTCCCCTCCTCATTTATTTGAGACATTGGGAGGAATTAGGTTATAATAATTATGAAAAGGGAAAATAAGTGTAATCATTTGATAAGAATGGCTTTGTCCAACATGCAACACTATGGAATAGCTGGCTAAGGAAATGTCCCATTTCCCATAAGCATAGGTAGCAATTGCTCCGGAGTATATTTACTGACTGGAGCGAGACTATAGGAGTAGTTTCCAACTCATGTTGATTGGCTTCGGTGCCATGCCATGGTGAGCGGCTTCAACTGGAATGGCTTCATGTTCTTCTGAGGCAAAGCGAACTGATTTTAAGTTTCTAACTGCAAGGTAGTTTAAATGATCCACGGCTAACCTCTCGTGAAAGCTCTAGGATTGCAGTTGGAAATGTTTGACTAAATGTGACTTAAACCCGTGGCTAACCTCTCGTGAAAGCTCTTGTGGTTTGCTTCAAAGTCAAGTAACCAACGGCTGACCTCTCGTGAAAGCTCTTGTGGTTCGTTCCAAAGTCAAGTAAACCAATGGCTAACCTCTCGTGAAAGCTCTTGTGGTTAATTCTATAGTAGAGTTACCAACGGCCAACCTCTCGTGAAGGCTCTTGTGGTTCGATCTACAGTAAACATGTAACCAACGGCCAACCTCTCGTGAAGGCTCTTGTGGTTCGATCTATAGTAAACATGTAACCAACGGCCAACCTCTCGTGAAGGCTCTTGTGGTTTAATCTATAGTAAACATGTAACCAACGGCCAACCTCTCGTGAAGGCTCTTGTGGTTTCGATCTATAGTAAACGTGTAACCAACGGCCGACCTCTCGTGAAGGCTCTTGTGGTTTAATCTAGGTATATAGAAAACGTATAACCAATGGCTCACCTCTCCTGAGGGCTCTTATGGTACGTTTCAAGTGTGTATGTTGCGTACACAATCATTCTCAAGGCTATCCGCTTGTGGAAGCTATTGGAAAACGCCCCACAATGTGGTGTAAGTACCTACAAGAAAAAACTTACCAAACTGACGACAACGAATGCGTCCTCTCGCCGGTTTCGCCCAATTATCCAATTCCTGCATACACTCCATCAGTTTTCCTATCTGCTTGCGACGTTTTCGACCCATTTAGTAGGAAAATCACCAAATTAAATTGAAAAATTTTCCAGGGTACGACGTGACAGGTCGTGCACAAAGAAGTACAATGATGTTGCCAGTGAGATGACCATAGAGTATAAATATTTTTTTTTATGAATGTGTTCATCTTTAAATATTGTGACAGCGTGCCCAGATTAGTGCCTACTACTAGTATAATTAGCGAGGATGACGCTACCTATACAATCGAGACTTTTCCGATTAACTCGAACACATTGCCTCGCGACTCCGCCTCAGCTCCTTACCGGCTGTGGTTCAATAGCCACCATAAATAATATTATGAGCATGGAAGATATTACAGCCGCAGAACTTCCAGTGAGAGGTAGACGAGAGGTGATATAATATTTCATTCGACATTTCCGTAAAATTACGGTGCTTACAATATCATCATCTTTTTTTGTAATAACAATGAAACAGTAAAACTTCATAAATAATACATTGCAGTGTCAATGCCCTGCGAGCTCATAAACAAAACTCGTAAACCGAATATATTTGGTACAACCCTACTGAGTATTACGCGGCAAACAATCAAGTATTAACTGGAATGAATAATACACGTCTGTGTAAGTTTAGCTGGTTTCTGTGGTGAAACAAATAAAATGAAAGTGCAGCAAACAGCAGTGCACTCCTCGTGAATGTAACAAACTATTCGTCTGTGTCGTAAAACTTCTGCGTTTTCTTCTAAGTGGTAATAGTTGGGCACGAGTAGGGGGTGGTAGACTAGTGGTTGCAATGGCGGCAGACTCACTTAAAACTTGCCGCTCAGCCTTCGGAAAAATGCTATGTCTTGTTTATAGTAATAGTCGCCGCAGTGCACGCCATCAACTACACTGTAGCGAGCGCTTGTACTACTCCAGCACGAGTAAAAAGTAATGAGCTCACCGTTCAGGTAGTGATTCCTACATTAAAACACAACAGAAAATATCATGGAAAGTAAAATATTGTAATAGTAACGTCCCGCCTGCCTCCACTGCAGAAAGTTTACATTGGTTGCAGCGAGCCTTCTATACACGTTACAGATTATGTTCGGTGTTTTATAGTAATAGCTTTTGAACGTTAATGAATTGTCGTCAGACCTCCTCTCAGTGATATCACTCGACATGTTCACGTTATAAATGTGTTTGTGTATTGTTTCAGGCGGAGGAACTGAACTCGTTGGTGGGAGATGCTTTCCGAATGGCGTTCGCGTCGCAGCTGCAGCCCTCCGCGCCGCTCTGGGTGAGAATTACTACAATGTTACTTTTCTAATCTACACATTTACATTATAATAGGTGTTTTAAAGTATCACTCTTCAAGTACCTGCATTATAACATGAATTATTTAATAAACGTTGCCACCAGATTAGCCCTAGTTCCCTAATACCGTGCAGCTCCCGCATGTTTCGTGTGGAGTGGTGTAGCACTCGATGGCTCGCGTTTAATATCTGTTGCTTGTGCAGCACGCGAGCTATTACAGCGTGCAGGGGAACATTAGCAATGATTTACTACGCCAGCACGCCGCGCGCCGCGCGCCGCGCGCCGCCTACACCGGGAGCTAGGACTAGGACGCTTGCCTCACCGTGATTTGTGCTTCCCTTGTTTTAAAACTTTAGAGTACACTGTTGTGTTCTTACTACTTCTAACTACTGCTCTCATTACAAATATTTTGCAGACAACTAACGCTGGTTAAAATATTACGAGAGTTTCAGAATAATAATTGGTACAGTTAATATCACGTTAATATTATGCAACAAGTTTGTACTACAAGTCATCAACTGATTGCTATTGGCAAAAAATCTAAGAATCGTTAAAACTATTTCAAGCCTAAACTGGTTTAGTAAAATGCCATTCGATGTAATAACATGTTCCGTCTCCTTCTGACTGGTGGTCGGTGTTAAAGGAGCGGTTTCCAGCTTAAAGTAATTTCTAGTAGTTATGATAATAGTGCAGCTTGTGCGGTGACAATAATTATAGTAATATACACGTACAACGTGTACTTACACATAAAAATATGTTAAATGCAAAGTGTATCGCTTTATTTGTGCGCGAGATGGGCGAGCGCGCGCTGGGACAATGTCGCGCTAAAATATTGTGTTTATGATAATGCAGCATTATCTACCGGTTTGGACACAAACTTGAATTAAAAAGTTGATTCGACATGTGTTTGTATTGTGCTTTTTATGAGAAAGCTTTATTCGTAGGATGAATTTATGGCAAACTCCATAATAGGAGATATCTAATTACTTTTATACCCAATGTCATATTGATATATTGCATGTAGGTATTTTATACAAAAATAGCAACATAAATAATATCGTTAACGGATAGCAACCGCTTCGAAGATGTCCATATTAAGTTTTTTATCTTAATGCACGATACCTTAACTCAACCTTAACTTATCAAACACAAACCTATAATTTCTTAAACACATTAAAAGCATTTAAAGTCTAATACCTGCGAGTTAAAAATAAATCCATCACGGTGGAACAATCAATCAGAGAGTGTGGGTGTTATAAACAAAGTGTGGTTGAGCTAAAGCTATCAATATCGTGAGTGATGTATTATTAGGCGCGCTAAACGGCCCGGGCTCCCGGCCTGGCGCGGCGCTCCGCCAGTAATGATACCTTGTGAACGAACCACCAGCTACTTATGCCGCAACATGTTTGTTTTCCAAATGAGGATCATATTCAGTTAGATAATGCTGGGATGTATGTAATACAAACCCTAATGCACAATTTTCTAAACAAAAACTAATACCTGAATGCTTGAAAGAAAAGTATACCAAAAGATAAAGTTATTGAAAACATTACATTTAGCTATCGTAAAATTATGTGAACCAGAAACTCTTTTTGGTTCTCAGTTCAAATATAACAATTAAACAATTACTTGAATCAATACAAGTTAGATAAGTGTGAGCGTCCCTGAGTTCCAAACTCATTGAAGCGGGAGCTCCTCTGGCGATAAAACTCGGCAACTTATCGCCGCTGCTAATGATTACGCCGCGACACTCGCGACAACTTCCACTTTTATCGACGCTCTTCGACAGGTAAACGTTCTTAATGACACTTGAAAAATTCCAACTTATTATTACATCCGTATTCGAGGATAATCTCGAACTTTTACTTTTTATCTCGTTTTCTTTTGGGAAAATGAGAAAACAATGCGGCTCGCGGGAAATATTATGACTTTGTCTTTAATTTTGTTCACAACTGTGACAATCAAGGACCTGGCTGGACTGCCGACCATTTTTTGAATTCGATTCTTGCACTGCTGGTCACTGTTTACCATATCTTAATTGAGAGTTACGTAGGGCACAAGAGAGAACTTAAACTCACCTCTTACTTGATTCGCTTATATTAATAGGTGTCACTTATCCATTGGGGAAAATGAAACTGTCACCAAATGTCACCTGTCTTAACTAAGGATTGCTTAAGAGCCGTTGGTAAAATGGTGCAGAAATATTGTACTATTAAAATTAAAATAGTTTCACACTACGTGTTTCGTATGTAAATAGTTAAGTTATAAATTTTTCGTTGGTAAATCGAACAGTTCACAATTAATATTGAGAGGGTTTTAAACGTTAAGGTTAACTTATCAAAGATTAGTTTTTTTACTCGTAATATGGCCACTTAATTATTAGTGTTAGCCTCAAAATACAGTATTTAACTGTAATACTACAAAGGTATTTACAATTTAACCTAATTATTTCTTAAAACACGTGGTAGCGAGTTTAGAGTACATTAAATACTTCTTGCAATAAATCCGAGCGGCAATTAAGAAGTATTTAAGTTGGTTTTTATAAGAGTCGGAATAAGGTGAAAATATTTAATGAATTACTTGGCAATTAAAGTGTTTAGTGCGCGCGGGCACGCGGCGGCCGCGGCATGTGACGCGCGCAGATAACATGCGATTTATTGCAAGCTTTCTTTCCAGATAGGGATGGCGATGGCCCATTCTGGATACCTGTAAATAGGTGACATAATTTTTTTGTTGGCTGTTATGAGAACATGAACAGGCGTATCAACTGCTTGTAAGTGATTAGCGCCAGCCCCGGATACCCGAGGAGCTAGGCTTCGACAAACTTAATTAATGCTGATTTTCTTCTGTAAAGTAGGTAATATTACCGATGATAATCAGTAATTTCAATTTCAACATTCTTCAGAGGTGAAATACTCTATTATTTTATAAGAGAATGCCATAAACTATTAACAAACACATTCCAAACGAAACTATGAAGCATCGTTTGCTATAGTTTGGTTTGTATAATGAAAGTGTTCGTGTGGCAGCCCTGTGCCCGCGTAACTCTCTCCAGGTGTATTGTTTAGATAAAGGACTCCGCCTACTATAAAACTTTACGACACTTTTTACTTTTCGTTTTAAACCTTTCGCTTTTAAACGCACAATTTTCAACATTTTCACTTCATTCGCCCCAAACAGTTTATTTCGTTATTCACTACGTACTTATAAAGTTACAGTATTCCCCCATTGCGCAATGGATTTACTGATTTATGGTATAAGACATAATAAGATAGTCGATGCAAGATGTTTGTTAGAATTACAATTTTACAAGTATAATACTTTATCCAGTTGACCATACAGTTTTCAATTAAACTTGCTTGCTTCCGATATTGAATTAAACCTTTTCAGTTTTCAAATTATTAAACTACTGATTGTAGAAAATCAGAAAACACCAAACTAAAGGTCAGCCAGTTATTTGAGAATTGACACTTTTACAATTAGGAAAACTGCCTCGTTGGCCGAGTGGTCGCAAGTGCGACTGCCGGGCAAGGGGTCTCGGGTTCGATTCCCGGGTCGGGCTAAGTATTACAGGGGTATTTTTAAAAAAAAAATCTCAGTAGTAGCACGGAGTCTGGAAATGTGCCCGGTATATGGCAATAGGCTCACCCCCTATTACATGGGACTCATAACATAAATAGTGAAAAGTGGGTGTTACATTGTACAGTGGCATAATGTGCACCTCTGTCTAGCCCTTCGGGGATAAAAGGCGTGATGTTATGTAATTAGGAAAAAATTTAAGTACTGAAATTATCACATGAAATGATTGAATGAGTATTAATTTATGTGGCGAATACGCCACATAAATTAATACTAGTTTTTATTAAATATGGTTGCACGTAATAACGTGCAACCATATTTAACGAGTGAGTTAAAGTGAGTGTGCTCAAGACATAAAAGTATAGAAGTGGTTCCGTTTTACGGTGGTTTGAGTGACGATTTTAAACTGACATCAAAATTAAATGAACTATTTCATTGTACCTTGTACAATGTACAGTAAGGCTGTCTCAATAAAATGACGATTTATTGCGTTTTCCGGTCCGCTCTTAAATAACATTGTAAATATAAAACGTGTAAGAAACAGTTCTGCGAAGTGTTTGTGTTTAAGGCTTCATTCAATTTATTTTCAGTGAAACAGAACATTTTCGGGCTTAAAGCTTTAACATTGCATATTTTTATAGACTTTGTCAAATAAAACCGGGAACCTGAACGTTAACTCGACGCAAATACTTTACATTTCCATCCTAAAGGTGATCAGTACCACATAGCTTTTTAGTTTTAGCTACTGAAATGTATGAAAGATCACAAAGTGTTCGTTAACCAGTGTTTGTGTACTTGCTTGCACTAGAATAAGTTGAGCAGTAAGTACAAACAGTGAAGTGAAACACTTTCTAAATGTGGAATTCCGTCGTCGCGCGGTGCACGTCGCTGTCCCGATAATTAAATCCGAACTTGCCCCGTTCGCCGATACTGCCCTCTCGCACGCCAATCCGTACGACCCTGACTTCCCTCTCGCTCGCACTCACCATCATTCACATAAACACATCTCACTTTCATCGAAAGTGACTTTCGGACGGCATTCCCATTATTACGACTGTTTAAATTATAAAAGAACACGCTCCGACTTGTTTTTGAAGTGTTTATTATTCACTTTGTTTTGTTTGCTTATTGTTTTAAATTCATTTTATGCAGTTAAACCCGGAGAAGTGTACTTCAAAGTCCTTTTATCAATATTGGAATATACTTTTCTGGTTTTTATGGAACAATTATCTAGATTCAAGTTCAATATACTTAACATTCAATTACATAACTTTCACGCACTCAGGTTTTTAACTTTTCACAAAGTTACATAAACGGTATTATATAAGCATCAAAGTCAAAGTCAAAAGTCAAAATCATTTATTTCAATTAGACCAGTAAGGCACTTTTGAACGTCAAAACAAA